TTGAGTGATGGCATTGACTATAAAGAGCTAAACACTTCACAACTCTTTAAACCACAAGACCAGCATTTCGACTGATTTTCACAATGAGCACATTGTGAGAGATGAATTGTGATTATTACATTATGACATTCTTTGACAATGTGCAACTAGCAAACATTAAACAAATGTTAAAATGTATATAACAACAAAAATGAGGGATGTTACCTATTGAGTTTCTCTGGAATTATCTAGAGACTCTACTATTTAAAAAAATCATATAAAATTACATATATCAACATCTAAACCCAACCTAAACAGGACAAGGGCATGATGGAATTTTAACAGTATGTTTAAGACACTGTTACACTCGATTCTACATAAAGCCATTCTCTACAAGCTGTGAAGAAACTCAGTTTATCTTGACCACATCTGGAGCAAGATGCTATCGCAATACTAAAGCCATGACATTCCTACAATTCACTATTGTTATTTCTCTTCATTTAATCTTTGAGGCAACAAATCAAGCTTGCCAATTCCCGAAAATATCCATTAATCCTTATCCCGTTAACGGTCACCCCCCTTTTTGAGAATGGACATTAAAATGCACTATTCAAACTTAGATGGTTGTAATTCAAGAATGCTTTGGAATATAGACCCAATTTTGGTCTTGTTTTAAAGAAGACACTCAGCAGATTATTGCTGAAGTGAAAGCACTTCAAAACATTACAGTATGAGGTTGAAGTTTAAATTTACAGTAAATCAAATACTGTACTTTTACAAAATATATTTTACTATAAAACCAAAGCCATATATCTAACCAAGTTGTGTTCCAAATTTGAAGTTATCACAAAAATGTAAGTTCCCATGAGATTTTGTTTAGGCGTAATACCAAAAATAGCGGGTGACATACATTCCATTGAATTTAATTGTATGTATTCTGCCGTAACAAATTAATAAATTCTGTCCAAATATCACTTCTGTCACAGAATGACAATGTGTTTTGTCAATATTAGAAAAGGTTTTGATAATAAATTATGAAACATGATGACGCCCAAAAGCGGAGGGGCCCGATAAAATAATTGAGTACTGTTTCTATGGTAACGCAACATTTAATTTCAAAACGGTTTCACAGGATGAATTCTGAGTTCGTAAGCTTTCAAATGATACCTAATTTATGATAACTACTTAATAGATTATGTAATTAAAAAAGGCGATAAATAATATATTATATTTTAGAGGATAATATATATATATATATATATATATATATATATATATATATATATATATATATATATATATATATATATATATATATATATACACTTTTTGTGACAAAGGTCAGAACTCCTGTTATGATGTAGATTTTTTTAGGTGCACTCTTGTCATAAATTCATCTTTTACTGTTCCTACATAATTTGTAACAAAAAACAGTGCTAAAATATCTATTTAGGGGTCTTAGTTTGTCATGATTAGATTAGGATTTATTTGTCATGATTAGATTAGGATTTAATTGTAATATAGTGAAGTACATTTAGGCATCCCGGTAGCGGGACGGTGACAGCTTTTCGGACGAGTTGTTTTACGTAGTCTGGAGCTGGTACAAACAGCTGTGTGGTTAGCTACGCCCCGTGTAAAACACCCTGGCCAGCGTCGATCAACTCCTCACTACTGTACAGGTCCAACAATACAGGCCTCAATCTAAGGAAACAAACAATGTACTGAGAAAAACTAAGCAGTTTATGTTTCCTCACATCTCAGCCACACTTCAAAAAAGCCTTCAAATGCTGGATGTAAAGTTGTCTTCATGAATTACCCTATTTGTTTCCCTCATGATGTACATTAGCTTCTTGACTTTAACAAAAAACAGAGGGGTTTAACTATTGTCGAAAGACATGGATGTGTGGGTTCTGTCAACACAGACATGGTTGGATTGCATCATTGACAGTGTATCTGCCGTATAAGGTAGAACATTCAAAGTCCAATTAGATTTAAGTCTAATAAGTAATATGGATCTACAAGGCTTCTCATGTACACAGTTTAAGTAACTGATATTTGATTCAAGACACTGTAGGAAGTCTATTATTTCTCTGGAAATGAGACTTATTTACCATAAGGAGGTGCTTAAGAATTTCTTTAAGATCTACAATCTTCATTAGTACCTTTATTTGCAGTTATAATTTTGCCATCTAGAAAGATCTATAAGGGTCTACTATAACCATGACTCCTGCTATTCAAGATGCATCACTACAGTATCAGGGCAAGAAAAACTAAAAAGTAACTTGTTATAAAGGCATAATTTCAACAACAAAAAATAGAAAAAAAAAATATTATAATGCAGCAATCTGATCATGTTACTTATAGAGAAAAAGCATGTAAAGAGGTAAAAGACACTGTCAATGAAAAAGTCATCCGAGGAGAAAAAGTTACAACTCAGAAACAGCACTGCCTACTGGTGAAGACTCAAAATAACCACTTGCCTGTTCTCACAAAAGTGAGATCGTAAATTTAGTGACATTATCAAGCTATCCTTCAGAACAAAAAAAATGCACGCTTTTATGGTAATGTGGAATAGATGTGTCTGAGGTTTGTGTGAAGGTCAGTCAGGGATGCTCTCTGCACTAACATCAAAATGTGGTTCCAAGTTTAGAACTACTAACCATATTGGTGTAAATATTTTGTCCCTGGCTAATACTGCACAAACACTTTCAAGTCCAGGAGATTTGCAGCCTCAACATTATAGTCCTGATCCAAACTTTACAAACAACAAAACACTTCAGCTGTGAACATCCGACTATATGTAGCTACATAAACACAGCTATATATAAATGCACTACCGTTCTAAAGTTTGGGGGCAGGTTTTTTTTTTTTGTTTGTTTGTTTTTTTAAGAAATTGATGCTTTTATTCAGCAAGGAAGCATAAATTGATCGAAAGCTACAAGCAAATACTTTTTTGGGGACTTTTGTTTCCGCAAAAATGTTGATAAGAATGTTTCTTGACCACCAAATCAGCATATTAGAATAATTTATCAAGGATCATGTGACACTGAAGACTGGAGAATTGATGCTGAAAACTTAGCTTTGTCATAAATTACATTTTAAAATAGTGATTTTATATTTGAATTTGTATTTTACAATATTACCGGGTTTCATATAAAAATAAAAATATATATTTTTTTAAATCTACATTTGGTTTGCCCCCTTTTCAAGCTGCAAGCTTGCCCTGAGCATGAACTCCACAAGTTTGTATAAAACCTGATGGTCATGTGGTCCAGAATTATTTTGGATGATCCAAAGAGACTGTCCTTATAGCACCTTTGCATTTGTTATCTTTAGCTTATATACATACAGTATGGGATAAGTACAAAGCGTTTACATCAATAAAACGGTCTACAATTAAATGACGATCTGCTATCAGACAACATGCACTCATAGTAACATGTAATATCCTCTCCACTTCTAATATACAAACTCACATACACCCTATTGCTGATAACAGTGCTGCCAAATCCATGTGCGCTGTTTACTAAAAGCTCCCTCTGTACAGCAGGCCAGAACTCCTCTGCAAAACCTCAAAAGAATAAAAAAAAATAAAAAAAACTCTACATCTTTGACATTAACCGCTCAATTTTAACCAAAGCTTCACATTCAGGGAATTTAGACAATAAAAGTATCTTAAAAGGACACTTGAACTGTTTGCGTTTCTTAAATGTCAGGCCTAATAGCCAGGATATGGTACGACGAGGGTTGTACCTTGTCAACATTTATCTTTATTTTAAGAGTGATATGGCTTGGACGAATGCTTTTAAGAGCATCTGCGCAGCAGCTTAGAGATACTGTTTGTGCACAGTTATCCCCCGTGTTTTAAATCAGAGTAATGTTCAGCCGGCCGAATGATGAAAGGGATTTGCATTCGCTGCATCTGGCGCTCTGTGTACTTAAACTGTTAAAAGAGCTGAACAGGTGGAACAGGTGGGCACGATTCAGGACATATAGAGAGATGATCAACTGTTAGACATCCCTTTTATCTGCAGTCGCCGCTTCCTTTGGGGATTAAGATAAGATGCCACCATACAAACTAATAGATTGTGTGCAGGCATGAAACTTTTTAGTAGTGCTTGCCAAGACAAGTGTCACTAGTTACTGCTCATATTTTAGGCTAAATAGATTTTCTGTTTTATTATGCAACGATTTGTCAAAAAAAAAATTGGCAGGGGGGGGAATGGGGTCGGGGGTTGCTCTACAAAAACTATATGCATGTGAATCCAGCGCATACCAAATGGAAGTAAATGGAGCACAAAGTCTAGTGTGCACAGTAATCTGACGGAACTGGATTCGATTCTATCTGGAATAGAGATGTAGGTTCATGGAAAGGAGCATCAGTGATGATCTCCAGGAATGTAGATTGAGTAAGAGTCCAGCAGGGGGAAAAAAGCCACATCCTTTGACATCACTAAGACAACCACATAGTAATTTTCACATTTGCGGTTAAGGAACACAGCGTGCCTAGCTAGCTCCAATCATATTTCATCTGGTGTTGTTCAGCACTGGAGATAACTTGTAGGGTAATGAAACAGTCATGAAGGCCCATTTAAACTGCTTTGAGAAAGTTGCAGAGAACGAGCGAGGAGAAACATCAGGCCAGAACTCCTCTGCAAAACCTATTAGCATGGCCACAAACATCTACAAGAGCCTCCAGGACATTGGAAGGGCTGGAATCAAGAGAGATGAAGCACATAAAATGCTGAAACTGATGGACCAGACATGGAGAACCAAAATAAAAATGAATGAACTAGTACTAGCTTAAATGTGTTTTGCCCCCTGTCACAAATGTCCCATACCTTGACTCAAAATAAATAAATAAATAAAAGCTTGTTTGAAGCTTTTTATAACTCTTTAAAAGCACTTTCCCAAAAATCCCTCACCTCTTAAGAGAGATTGGGAGAAGGAGCATGGAGATACCATCATGTCTGAGTGCCACTTGTTGCAAAGGTGAAAGAACCCACATGGAATTGATATCAGAGCAACCATCTCAACCCTTAATTCTAGACATAAACGGGAGGAAAAGCCTCAGGTAACCATGAAACTGACAATGGGTAATCACTGTCACTTGTGCGCAGATATTCACTCATCAGAAGATGCAAGTGGCTTCTTCAACAGCCCAATCTAGGCATTGTGGTGCCCGCAACATTGAAGGCATGCGATATTGAGAAATGAATGATCGTTCGTGCCATCGGTTCTCTTATCAGGATGTTTATTAAGAGGGATGTTCTGTGATACAGTGAAGAGAGAAAAAAACATTTCACAGTATGACATTTCCTCACCATGGCACAATGAAACATCTGAAGACCCTCCTCCCTCCCATGTATTGCGTCAAAGCAGAATTATCAAAGCATCCTTTCTACGCAAGAACCTGTGTACACAAACCTATCCTGAAGTGGGAGGGAATGCTAAACTCTGTATTAACCCAAATGATGTTCGATAAATACTTCCTTTCCTTTGCAGCAATTGATTCCCTTTCTTTTCACATATTCAAACATTCCTGAACCAGATGACATTCAGCATCTAAGCTGCAGCTTATTTGCAAAGAATGATGTACCTTCCTACATCCACAAAATCTACATCGAGGAACAAACTACGTGCCCAATGCAGCCCAGCTTGAGGTGAACATAAGCGGAGGAGTGTGAGATCGGGGAGGAGAGGGATTGTTTTGGTCGAGTTGAAACTGTGGAGAGGTAGGGTCGTTGTAATGGTCTGGTTCCTGTATCTCATAGGATCTATTCCATTAAATCCCAGTGGGTAAATTACAGTACATCTGTTCAAATCCCTGTCAAATACTGCAGAGGATTACTGCTGGGAACAAATTTGCGAGGACAACAGGGCGGATATACAGTAACTACTCATACTAACATCACCACTACAGTGACATTCACTTGAATTAGGAGTGGTTGGGGAATACAAATCATCTTTTGAATGAGCCATAGGTGTTTGGGATTCTGTGCGTAAATCTTTAGAGATATTAGCTAGGACTTTACTTAAACTCAGCAGCGATCCTTCAAAGATTTGTGCGGGGAAAAGGTCCTCTGAAGCTGCAATCCTTGAAAGATTTGTGCGGGGAAAAGGTCCTCTGAAGCTGCATCTAAAAAGGTTGATTACTTGCTTGGAACACCACAATATACCACCAGCTGGTCACTTAATGCACATGGTAAGTTCACAAGATATAAACAATTAAGCAAGAAAAAGGGAAAAAAAGCATATCGTTTGGAATAGTCTATGGCTTTCAAACAAATGAGTGTATGCCAACACATGTGCATGTATGTAACATGTATGCTAACACTACCACCCTGTTTCTAAAAACTGATTGCTATGCTATATAAAAATTGAACTATAATACATACAAAACCAGATGAGAACTGGTTGGCTTTATTTATTAATGCTAATTAATGTGATGCTGCAATGCTTTTTTCCCCTTTAAACTATTTAAATGGGGGACAAAAAAAAAAGACATTTAAATGAAAAGAAAAATAAACAGAAGTTCTGTAAATACAGAATAAACTACATATCTACAGTTTAATAATGAAAATGGGCAAAGAGTGTAATTAAGAGCTTGATTCTATTAGTGCTAATTTAGATCTAAGGGTTTATTGGGTTTGTTCGATCTCCTCATCTCTGTAACTCATCTGGTGCAAAGCCAGGTCAGATCTTCTCTTTTCTCTCTAGCCCTCACGGACCTTGGCAGACAGAGCATCACAAGTCTTCTTGGCATCTCCCAAAAGCATGGATGTGTTTGGTTTGTAGAAGATAGGGTTGTCCACAGCGGCATAGCCAACTCCCAGAGATCTTTTCATCACGACGATCTGGAGGGATGAAAACAGAGGTTGATGCATTTTGTCTTATTGGGGAACAAAGAGCGGTACTTTATGGAACAAGCTAGAAATTTGACATTAAATTAAATCCTGTATGTCGCCTTTAAGATTATCAATGGCATTTCCTTTGAGTTGAGCCAGCTAATACAATCCGTTTCAACATTATATCTGTAAAAATGTTGGATGCACCTGCACATGAAGTGGAAGGGAGAATGGCTTTAGGATTTGTACAAGAGGGCGCAAAAAGAGCCCAAGCTTCCAACATGTAATGGCTATTTAAGTATCTGCCATTTGCAAAATTAAGAGTCATTAGTGTCTCAAACACCAGTTTTTAGGCTGAGCCGTTTCTGGGAAAATCGTCGAGAGCAGTGCTTTGATTGGGAGCATCTGTTTGGGAAGGAGGAACACTTGGTAATTGAATAAGTAAAACCAGAGAGGAGAGCCCTTGCCGCTGGTCTTGCTTTAGTGTTATTCAATACACAAAGATATTTGGAACGAATTGACCCTCATCTTGAGACTTCAAAATCAGCAGGCGGATCCTTGTAATATCATCATCATCTGTCCCTCAAAAGCCCTGCAGATGTTCGATGCCAGGCAGGTGATCGGGATGGCGTTCAAACAAACCCAACTGCTCTTCTCAAAAGAGTCATGTGACCACTTTACCCAGGCTCAGCATCCCCCAGGACAGGACAACATCCTTTTGTTAAATTATTCATAGGGCAGCTGGTTTCATTTGGGAATGAGGTTACACATGAAGGTCTCTAACAAGGCTGGGAGCAATCAGCAGGGGTGGATGTTGCACGAGATTGAGTATAACAAAACCAACGTAGACAATCGACAGGGAAACTTCATATTCTGCTGTGCTATCGTGTCATCAAGAGCGTCACTAGGTTCTAAGTTGGTCGAGTGCTCTTGTTGAGGCTACACATCCAAGTTGCTACAAATAAGGAAGGCTTTAGTTCAAAGCTCTAGTGTTTGTAAATTCCATATGGAATTATGGAACAGGTTAACAAGCTACACGCAATTACTCGTGGGGGAAGATCTACGTATTTACACATTTGCAAACGTCAAGCCCCAGTACTCCAAGTGATTTCCCCAGAGAAGGTCTGGTCTGGGCCTGTCATGTGGTGAGGCACACCAGCCCAGCATTTTAGGGAAAGTATCGGTCGGATGCTCTGAAATGTCATCATTCCAGAAAGAGCGAGTCAGCGCTAATGAAAGCAGCGTGAGGCTGTCTTGCTGAAGATACACCTGGACTGTAGCGCGGTTACAGATGGAACCGGCTGTGGGGATGGGATGGAGATTTTCATATCGCTCTGGGTGGAAAAATTAGGGATGGTCTGTATTACAAAACCTGAGGGCAACTCCTGCAATCTTGCCTTTTATTCCAGCTAGACCATAAAAGTAAAGGCTGATACAAATCGAGTATGAAGTATATCATGTACACTTAAATTATTTTTTAAAGTCTCTTATGCTCACCAAGGCTCCATTTATTTGAGCAAATGCAGTAAAAACAGTAATATTGTGAAATAGGGCTGTGCGATATGACAATATATATCGGATGGACGAAATAAAGTCTATCGTTTCATATTATGCTTTATCGGTTATATCATGGTGTCGCAAAAAACATTGTTTACGGCAAAACTTTTTAATCATTTGGATGACTGCAATCTTACACGCCGGCATGGGGATGCAGGCAGAAACGTGAATAACATGGCGAGTGAAGGGGTGACAGAACCGGGTGGCTCCGAGCAGGACCAGCCAGAACAAACAGAGGAGCTCGTTCCTAAACGAGGGGCTACCTCTCTAGCATGAACATGTAGTTAAATCTAGATGTTTGGTTGACTATTTTATTTTGATAATGAACATGCTGCGATGTCAAGTTAGCAATGCTAAAACGTGTGTGCGTGAGGCGTCGGCGCGATCACGGGGATTTTTGTCCTTCTGAGGAACCGGTTACTCCGTAATTTATGGTCATACGGATAGAAGCAAGATATGATTCAAAACTGTAAAGCTTTTGTAAAATACAGAAAACAAGCACGATGCCGTTTCCTTTTTGTGAACTTTAGACCCCATCACATGAACCAAAGCTCAGCAAAACTTTTCCTTTCGTTTTGTTAATCTGCAATTATTTAAGGGAAATAGCCTATATTTAGCATATAGGCCTATAAGTTTTATATATTTCGTTTTTTGACATTGTGTGAATCCATGTTCTACACTATCCTGCAATTTTTGCTCGTTTAAAAAAAAAAAAAAAGTTGCATATTACCTGCTATTCATTTTCACTGAAATGTAGTCCTAATTGTTTGACAGTTGGTGACATATACAGTATATCCTTGGGAAAACTAATGCCAGCACATTGCCATTGCGACTTACCTATGATGACTTGACAGCTGAGCACAGGCATTTCACTCATGTTGGATAGGCTATGCGTCAATATCACATTTGCACAGTCTGTACTATTTGAAATCGTGATTGGTTGACTGGCAAATTAAAATATTAACCGGTTAATGGCCATTTCAAATAAGCATGTCTGTTCAGAACGATTAAATTTGATTTTGTTTCCGTTTCTGGTTAGGTTTCTGTCAATTTGGTTCGTTTGTTTTTGTTCATTGAACAGGTTCCGAGCCCTGATTGCTGCTACATTTTAAACTTGAAAGTACAATGTTTACATTTGGGATTTTATATAGCAATACTTTATGTTGGGCCTGTAATCATTTGTTTTTGAAAAGTGTTTTATATTTCATTCATGTTTTATATTTCTATATTCTTAATCAAACATTTGCCCAGGAGTCCTAAATGAAAGGAGAAAAAATAATCACATATGAGTATATACTTAGTCGCCATGAAATCAAATTTTACAATTCGAATTTATATATATATTATATTAGAGTTTATTATTATCTGTGCACTTCATTCATTTTTAAAAATTCATGTACCCTTATCATTTTTAATCAAATGCGTTATCCTTCCCTCCACCCTCGAAATGACTTCTCTTCTCTTCCTGTCATGTGCTATGGCGCAAGGGCGTGGCAACTCCCCGCAAACCGTTAGTCTGCTATGAGCGAGAGATGGAGAGGAGGAGAGCTAAAGTAAAACCCTGCCCTCTTTTCAATATTATGTTTCACTTGGAAATACGTCTCACAACCCTGGAGAAAAGTCGTTTGTAACTTCCGGTTCACGGGGACTTTAATATATACTCATATATATATATATATTAGGGGTGGAACGGTACACAGAAGTCACGGTTCGGTTCATACCTCGGTTCGGTACGATTTCGGTACAATGGAGGGAAAAGCAAAACAAAAATGCAGAAGGCATTGTATTTTTTAAATAAGTTTTATTAATAAAGGCATAGAACCAGTTAATTTGTAGTGCACTTGCAATAGTTTTATATAATTAGTGTATTAATTAAATTAATAAAAAGACAAAAAGACCTTGCGATATGTTTGGTAATTGTACTATTAATTTAAAATTATTTTGCTATATTTCAGATCAATATATTTGTTTTCCTTAATTTTAATTAACATTATTAATTGACAATGTAACATTATTCTTATCTGAATTATAAATAATTGATTTCTGTATAAAATAATACTACCATTAAAAACATTCGATTTTCTTTTTTTAATCAATGTAGAATGTGTAAGATTAGTGCTCCAAGGACAAGAAATGAAAACCAATGCAATATGATGAATGTCCAAAATGGAGTTGGATAAAAATGTTTTGCTTTTAAAACAGTGTGTGTGTGTGTGTGTGTGTGTGTGTGTGTGTGTGTGTGTGTGTGTGTGTGTGTGTGTGTGTGTGTGTGTGTGTGTGTGTGATTTTGGTTGGGTGACAGTTGTAGGTTACAGTTTGACAAGAGTTTACAGTGTGACAAAAGCACAATGTTGTGTTTTATTGCGAGTGTACACAAATATAAGTAAACACTTTGCAGGTTTAATGATCTGTATGAACAAAATGACGGAGTATGTTTTTTATGTTTCCACTGTTCGATCGCGCGCGCCTCTCTCTCTCTCTCTCTCTCTCACACACACACACACACACGACACACACACAGTTCGATCGCGCCCGCGCACCTCTCTCTCTCTCTCTCTTTCTCTCACACACACGACACACACACAGTTCGATCGCGCCCGCGCACCTCTCTCTCTCTCTCTCTCTCTCTCTCTCGTGCGCACGCGCACACACACACACACACACACACACACACACACCAGCATTGCAATCTTGACATCGGAGCCTGTTCATTATGCGGTCACGGTCACACCAAACGCGAATAGAGCGTCAAATTCGCGTCTAGTTCGACGCTAGTCCATAGCGAATAGGACGCGCGTATAAAGCCAACATTTGAAGTGAACGCGCGTTCAGAGCTAAGCAGCTAAGCCGATGGTACATATTATGTGTCCCTAAAGAACCCGCGTATCTAACAGTAGTTCCGCATTACATTAATTAATTTGCACGCGAGTTTTATTTATTTTTATACCGTGTATTCTCCGTGTAAATTCGTGCACCGAACCGTGACGCCCGTACCGTTTCGGTTCGATACGAATACATGTACCGTTCCACCCCTAATATATATATATATATATATATATATATATATATATATATATATATATATATATCTCAACTATTCTTTTAGT